GTGTCTTTGTCACGAATAATAATAATAATCCGAGCAGTTCCAATAGGGTCTTCGCACCCGTTTGGGTGCTCGGACCCTAATAAATGCACAAACACAGTGATGCAGCCATACCGGCCAGGGTTTACCAGCAGCATCATCGACACGTAGTCATTTGTGAGGAGAGATGAGAGATCAAAACACACATGGTTTGTTCTGACAGCTCTCTTGTTTTTACAGTCTGTAATTGTGGTACTAATTAATGGAGTGGACGACAACGTTTGACGCAGCGCCCCCTTCAACATTTAGTACCTATCCCAGACATTCATTCTGCAAAACTAGCTGGTTGAATGAAGAAACGCTCTCTCATCCGGCCTGTACTGCTGTGTATGTACAACACCATGACCATAAACCTGATTTGATTTGATTCTGATATCGCTGCAGCTCAAGAATATAAATGTCAGCGTTTGGTTTGGTGTCTGTCCACCTGTTCTTATGGATACAGAATTTTCCAAGCATCTGGATTAGTTGGCCAAAGAACACTGTTTTGTTCTAAATAAGTAATAATGTCCTTTTCTTGTAGAGTGACGCCTTGTCCTGTTATTGACCTTAAATAATGCTGCACATCAGTCCAGAATGCTTTTGAACGTGAATACTGATGAAACAGATGGACTGTTTCCTTTTCCTTCCCACAGAATTTGCACAATCAATCATGATTAGTATTAAACCTTTCCAGTCTACAAGAACAGCTGTTTACATGCAGCCCTGCAGTGTCCTCCATGATGTGGGCGGAGCCAGAGATATGTATCATAAAGGTCTTTATTAAACATGTCTATGGGCGGAGCAACGGCACATCCGGGCATTTCACACTCGGGCTCCTACTGATGACGTTTCACCTGAGAGGAGGAAGAGCATCTGAGGCCGGAAGACGGCGACGAGCTCTGGCGCCGGGATCCAAACACTGCAGCTGTTTGATTTCCGTGAGACAGTCCCCGCCCTGGTCTCGGTGAGAGGACCGGACACATGTGTCTCATGTCCGGCCGTCCTCCAGTCTCTGGGTGCGAGCCGCCGGAGCAGCGGAGCGCCATGATGCTGGAGCGGAGCAGCGTGACGGTGGTGGCCGACATCATCCTCGGCAGCGGGCGGGAGACGGTCCTCTGTCGCTGCTCCAGAGCCTTCGTACAGTGAGCTCCATGTCTTTCTCCCTCCTCTGGCTCGGTCGCACTCGGACTCGTGATGAGCTGGTTTTGTTGGTCAGACTATAGTGTGTTCAGCGTGTCTGTGATTCCTGTCAGCAGTAGATGTGGGGCATGCTGCCGTGTTTCTGTGGAGACCAGGAGGACCAGGAGCCTGGCTTTAAATCACATACCTGCTAACACACTGTCCAGCCATAGTCTGACCTCCACATGTACGAACTGTGTGCTGAAGACATGCAGTGTTTTGGAGGAATGAGACACGAGTTATTGATTGTGGGGTTCTGGGCCTCTGTCAGCTGTGATGATGAGATCTTGTGTTTGTGTTGCTGTGCAGGGATCGAGAGCTGTACCGCTCTGACAACAGAGAGCTGCCCTCTGACCTGGCAGAGACGCAGGTCCGAGGTATGTCATGACATTTCATTCAGTTCAGACTGGTGCCGTGTTGAACATGTTGCGGATACGCTGCTGGGTCTGAGCCAGTCAGATGGCCGTTGTGATTTTAGGTTTTTGTCAACTTACAGAAACAGATGACAAAGAAGAGGAGGAGTCTGAGAGCGAGATGCTGGACAGCGAGGCTCAGCTGATGGCCAGCATGGGTCTGCCTTTGGCCTTCGCCAGCTCATCTGATAAAAGGACAGCGGTAAGGCGTACCTGCTGCTGCAGCATCATGTCTGTGTCAGTCACTTTTTATGAAATACTGAACTGAATTAAAAAATAAATAAAAAAGAGCACTTCCTGCTGCTGGTCATGTGACAGGGGAGGAGGTCTAACAGGAAGGCAATCATGTACCGGGATGAAGCAGCTCCAGAGGAGAAAGGTCAAGACCATCTACAGCTTGACAACGGAGGTAATACAATGAGCTCATATTCATTGAATAGTTTATGAGACCTCTTCTGTGAGGAAGCCATCATCCAACAGAAAAACACTGGGCTGCTGTGTCGCTTGGCCAGGGGCCTCATTTATCATCAGGCCCCCCTTCTCCACCAAGAAGAACCAAGTGCTGGTTCCAGAGCTTAGCTGGTTCACATCTGGCACCTCCTCAGAACCTGGTTGCTTTTCCATCAGCCAGGAGCCCAGTCAGAACCGTACGTCACTGCATATGGAGCCATTTACCGAACAGCGCTGGCGCCACACGGAGTCCACACAGGACTCCAGACAGACTTTGTTACTGCTGTGACCAGCTTTCTCATCTGGTCACAGGAGAAACATCTGACCTGCTGAACACGTTCTTATCCATAGACACTACAGTTTACGATGCTCCCTGAACGCCCCACATAGCAGGCTGCGCTAGCTGCTGCTGGTGGCCGCGGTGCTCAGACCAGAGATGACTTTAAACAGAGTGAACCAGGAGGTTCTGGTGTCACATCTGTCCAAGATGAAACCCAGTCATTTGTTCTCATGCGGTCTTTTTTATGAGCAGAATAAACAGCACATTTCTAAATGTAAATACTGCAGCACACGATTGTTTTTTTTTTGTGTGATATGATAGAAGAGCTGTCTGAGTCGCTGGAAGACTGTCATGACGTCGGTGGTCTTTACACGTGTCTGTAAACGTTTGTTCATGACTGTGCATGTGAACGTTATCGTTGTGTATTCAGCGTTCTGCTCTGGTTTGATGCTACCTTGTGTTGTTTTCTAGCTGATGAGCAGGTGGTGTGTGATCTACAGGTGGAGGAGACAAGAGGGATTCCAGATGCTGGGTGGGAAGCCTACTGGGGTAAGAAGGGAGACATGGAGATTGCCATTAAGTACACATTCTGTGCACGTTTACACAATTGTATTGTAGAAATGAACCCAATAAATGTGTGTTTTTGTTTAGTGTGATCTGAATGTGGGACTTGACTTTGTGGCAGGTGGTCGTATATGGTATAAACCAGGGGTGTCCAGTCCTGGTCCTCGAGGGCCACAGTCCTGCCTGTTTTAGATGTTTCCCTGATCAGGATCATTAGCAGGCTTCTGCAGAGCTTGATGATGAGCTGATCATCTGAATCAGGTGTGTTGGAAGAGGGAAACATCAAAAACATGCAGAACTGTGGCCCTCGAGGACCAGGACTGGACACCCCTGGTATAAACTATTCAACATCTGAAACTAAACATACGCTGTTTTGTTCTCATCCATTTCATCCACTGAAGCTCAACAGGGAGAAGCTCTGCTTTGGAGCACCTGGCTGGAGAAACATCCAGAGACTCAGCTGCTGTGTGCACTAGATCCTGGAACAGCGACTGCTCCTTGGGACAGCCCAGATACCAAGGCTGCCTGGGACCAGCATTCTGCAGAGACTTATTGCTCCTACTGGGAGCTGTACACATACTGGGCAGCACAGGGCTGGACCACCGACCAGTCTGCTGGTAATGGGAACACTGGTGGAGAAGAAGCAGCAGTGTTAATGGACAACGGTGTTCCAGCACAACCAGAGGGGCAGGGGAAGGACCAGACGGAATCTGAGAGCCACACAAGAGAAGATGACATTGAGGATCTGAATGACCTGTTTGAACACACCTGCATGTTAAAGACAGGTGCGACTTGTGTGACTGACTCGTATCACAGCGACAGACGGGTTGACACCAGACAGCAGGCAGAGCTCTGTGGTTCAGATGATCCTTCTGATGGTGGGAATGACCGCAGGAGATCCGATTCCTCCTCACAGCAGAACACAGCTGAACAAACAGGTAACGACGTGCTGGAGCCCAGACCTGGACCAGCGGTAGAGCCCATGTGGTCGCCGATATATCGTGCATTCCTACCAATTTATCTTATACAAGTTTGGGTCTAATGTTTTGCTTTATAAAGTGTGTTTCAGACGTAGTGTTAGCGGTGGTTGGACATGAGATTCTTTTCGTCTGCATGAGTTGTGTTGGTAAATATGTTGTTTGCATGTTATGTTTGCATGTCAGCTTCAGATCCGCAGCAGGCTGCTGGTAGACCTGACAGGCAGAATGTCACCAGGAATAAGATGTCAGATGGACAAGGTGATGACGATGATGACGAACCAGAAGGGGAAGGAGGCGGTAAACTCAAACGCAGGCCAGTATGAGAGAACGTTTTGTATCTGCAGACCTGTCGAGCTGTTTGCTGCTGATCCCACTGAAGGAAGCACAAACTGTGTGCATGCTGTTGCTGCAGCTACTTGCATGTATTCAGTTGGTGAATGCAGAAAACACAATATAATGCAGTGTTCTGGTAGATTAATCGTAGCAGCTGGACTGTTTGAGTTCCTTGAAGACGTTTCATCCAAGAGGCTTCATCAGCTCTGACTAACTAGTTGGGAGTTCCACATACTGATAACCTGAAGGAGACATTAACATCTGAGTTTGGGTTTTAATTGGGGGTTTGTTGCTCCTCCCCCTCGTTATGTGAGTCGTTAGTGCTCCCCCTGCCACAGTGGGGTTCATTAGGGTCTTTGTGGCTAGGTGTGGATGTGGCTTCATCTTCCTGGAGAGAGATCTTAGGACTGAACTGTGAACAGGTGAGAGGTGATGCCTCAGACCTCCACCTCTGGTCAGGGATGGTCTCTCCAGTTGGACATAGATGCTTCTTTCACTTCTCTCTCAAACCATCTGTCCTCCCTGGACAACATCAGAGCTGATGAAGCCTCTTGGATGAGAGGTGGAACGTCTTCAAGGAACTCAAACAGGTCCAACTGCTACGATTAAACTACCAGAAGAACCATGAGCTGGAGGACTGAGGATCTTCACAGACATGATGCAATATCTTTTAAATTTTAATCAAATTCTATTTGACATGTTTTATGAGTAATTTCCACATCGTTGTTTACCATTGATTAAAGGAAAACAAGATGAAATATAGAATAAGATAAATGCTTTTGTTGTCATCATACACAAAGAACAGCGACATTAAAAGACAACTCCAGAGGTGCAAAATCCACGTATAAAAAAGACAAATAAGAAAAAAATATATATATATATATATATATATATGTGTGTGCAGAAGGAGCCAGTAGGAGTATATACAGTTAAAGAAATATGATCTGTTTTTACTCATCTCGGTGGGCATCCCATAAGTTTCCTAGAGGAGGTTTGACATGAACATTTTCAGTTCTACTGCTTTTAAAACATAAAAGCTTTAAAACATAAAGTAGTTCCAGCTCCTTCGTGTTTCTGGTGAAGTCCAGGCTCCTGTGAGGTCTTAAACATTGTTCAGATAGCGTGTTTGAAGTCTGCATGCTTTACCCCCTGATGGCAAACAAAGAAAAAATAAAATAGATGTCCACCGCAAGTTAGAATGTTTATCCCTGGACTTACAAGAAAGAAATATAGATTTGAAAGTAATAGTCAATGTAAATCTTGACGTCCTCCGTTGTGTTCCCCTGCAGTCATGAGCTGGATGTGGAGGAGAGCCCACAGGTGACGGCTGAGGAAGCCTGGAGTAAAGTCCGACTCAAACACAACCCACAGCCTCGGTACGTCTGCTCTGTCCTCCTGCTGGGGTTCTGGTTCCCTTGTGTCCACTCTGTCCCACCTCACTGACTTCTGGCCATGTGTTTATGTTGAAACGGGTCCAACGACCACACCTGGAGGATTAACAGGTGTCTTGACTTGGTAGTGGGCCTGTGACAAGGAGGGACCGAGAGACCAGACGCTGTTAATAACACATCACAAGCAGATCAGTTCGTCAACCAACAGTTTAGCAGTTATCAATTAATACATTTAATCTTAATTAGATAGTAGCTAATTAATAAACAAAAAGGAGCAGGTCTGTGTGAGGACTTCAGCTGTCAACCTGAAGCCTTTTTTACAGGGATGACAGAATCAACGGTGGCCCCAATGTGCTGCCAGCTCAGGATGTACAACACGTACATGTCCAAAGGCATTGAGGACATCACGTCCATGTTACCTACAGTAATGAGTCGTGTTAAGGAGACTGACAGAGAGCTGTGCATCGTGTGTTTGTGTTTGTCTTAGGTTCGACAGCGTAATAAGCTTTAAAGGCAGAGCTGGTCCTAAGTGTAAGAGGCTGCGCTGGACTAAGAGAGCAGCCTGCAGCACCAACAAACACACCAGGTTCTCAGCCATGGGTGAAGAAGGCTCACAGCCACGGACCAGCACCGCCCTCTGCAAGGTACCAGCTGTACACCCAAGAAATATGCATCCAGCTAAGACGACTCCAGAATCACAAAGCTCAAACCTCAGCGAGCTAACAGAAGGACGTCAAGGCTGTGAGGAGCGAGTTACCGTCTCCGCTCACGAGTCTGATGTCGACATATCACTGAACAGGAACAGTGTCCATGGCCGAACTTCACAAAGCAGACAGTGCAGACGGAAAGCATGGAGCTGGGAATATGTTAAACCGTTATTAGGATTTATTATGAACAGTCAGAGATGCAGAGTCCCAAAATAGACCTTTATTAGTATGAACGTGACATACAAGACGAAAAACGAGTGTGTGTTTCACAGGTTCAACATTTCCTTGAATCGGTCCAGAGAGCGACACAGATGACTCCCTCTGACCGACACCAGGTGGAAGGAGGAGGCACACCTGACATCAGGCCTCCGTCTCCTGTAGAAGTGACAGGAGGAGGAGGAGGAGAGACGAGGAGGAGCACGGAGCTGGAGAGTGCTGAGAAAGAGGAGGAGGAGGGCTCTTGTTGTGTGTCCAGGTTAAATGCAGAGAGGAGTGAAGGCCCTCTGCCAAACACTTCCTTTGCCTCAGCCGGTGGGTCCGTGGAGGAGGAGGAGGAGGAGGAGGAGGAGGTAAAGGATCAGCCCTGCAGACCGCTGACATGTCTCCAAACTCCTGACTTTCTCCTGTGTGATGCGCCTGAAGGTAAATGATGTCGGTCAGAGGATTCTGATGCTATATGTTCTGGTGACAATCGCTGCAATCTAACAATTAATATGACGTATATTTGTATAGAATCGAGTGTGAAAGATGTAAAGAAGTCAAAGAAGAAAAATGGGAGGCGAGGAAGGAACCAGGAAGTCCCGGCAGAGATGGCAGCTGAGCCGGAGCTGGCTAAGTACTGGGCCCAGCGCTACAGACTCTTCTCTCACTTCGATGAAGGGATTAAGCTCGACCGAGGTTGGTGAACGTAGTCTTGTTCTTTAGCACCTATTACACCCACTGCAAGTCACTAGCATCTGAAATGACAACCAAAGGGCTAACGAGTTTGAGTTATTTAAAAAAAGTCTTAAGACAGTTGACATTCACGTTCCTCACCGTCCTGGCAGTTCACCTGCTGAAGGCCGGTTCATGGTTTCCACGAGTTCCATGTGGTCAGAGAAGCAGCCAGTATCTGGTGTGACCAGAGACCATCTAGCACAGGGGTCTCGAACTCCGGTCCTCGAGGGCTGCAATCCTGCAAGTTTTAGATGTTTCCTTCTTCCAACACACCTGATTCAAATGATCAGCTCATCATCAAGCTCTGCAGAAGCCTGATAACAATCCTGATCATGTGAATCAGGTGTGTTGGAAGAAGGAAACATCTAAAACATGCAGGATTGCGGCCCTCGAGGACCGGAGTTCGAGACCCCTGATCTAGCACCATGACGGGCTTTCAGTGAGTGCTCGGTCTTTTACCATTTAGAACAGGAACGAGGAATTTCAGCTGAACTCACCTTCTTAGGCCCAAATCTGAGCCGCTGGGCTTCTCTGAGAGTCAGAAACGAATCGAGCAGAACATTCAACCAAACATGATCTGTTCAGGAATAAAGGTAAATAACTATATTTAATAATCAGTGAATCATGGCTTTACTCTTTTTTTCAACAGTAAATTTGTATATTCATAAATAACAATAGTAATTATATTTTGGCATTAAAAAGCTCACCTGGTTGAGCTGGCGTCCTGTGTACAGGAGCTGTAGTCCCCAACGTGGAGGTCACGAGTTAGAGTCCCGCTCATGGCCTCTTTGTGCAGGTCCTTCCCCCATTCCTCTCCCCTCTCTCCTGTCTCTCTCTCGACTACACCATCGAATAGAGGCAAAAAGGCCCCAGATTTTTATTTTATTTTGGTTAAAGAGCCTCTGCATCCTGGTGAATCAACCACAACAGAAACGTAGGAAATGGTTTTGGTAATTCCTGATGCTGGTAGTTTAGGACAGCTGTGGCATAAACCTGACACTGGGTGGTGGTCTGACACGTGTTCAGCTCTTCCATCCCTCAGGCTGTAGCCCTCAGAGCAGCACTGACAGCAGGCCAGGAGACAGACAGAACAGCTGGCAGAGTCCAGCTGAACCCGTCTGGGTCAGGTGGTGTCGAGGGCTGCCTGTTGATGTGGTACCAACATGAGCTGAGACAACATTTTGGATTTGAGGGCTGGTCCTGGGCTTGAAATGCCCTCAGAGCTTCATTCTAGAGCAAACAAAGATGTAAACGAGCCAGCTTGATCATGCAGGAAGCGTAAACCAAAGGATGTCCTGTACATTGTGTTTCAGAGGGCTGGTTCTCCGTGACTCCTGAGAGGATCGCTGAGCACATCGCCCTCAGGGTGGACCACAGCTTCTCCGACTCTCACCTGGTCATAGATGCCTTCTGCGGCGTGGGAGGAAATGCCATTCAGTTCGCCCTCACTGGAAAGAGAGGTCAGTGTGATCCTGCACCTCTACTCACCTCTTATGCATTAAAAACTTGTGGGGATTTTGTGATTTGAGTCCTCAGCGGTAAAACCAGTAGTTCAGGGTTTTGCTCGTGTGAAAGATGTGAATGTGGAGGGATGTCTCTGTTGCTCAGCGTAAGGACAATGTAGAGCCCAATAAATGCAGCTGTTTAGTCTCAAGCCTCCGAATACAACACAGACCTTTATTGACTCTGTTCAGTTATCTTTGCTCTCAGTGTGTTAGACTGGAAATTAACAGGGAAAAGTTTAACGAGCATATTTCATTCTTAAATCGACCAGCGAATAAACCCAAAGTTTCTGTGCAGAGGAACTGGAAACCGATGGCGGTCACTGGCCTTGTTTCTATCAGCTCTCAGAGATGCATCGGTCGGCGCAGTGTCACGACCAGCAGCTCCTCTCTCCGTTGGTGTTCTGGGTCGTGGCTTTGGCCTTGTGATTGTCCTCATGCTCAGTGAACTGTAATGAGTACAAACATTTCAGCCTTATTCTGAAATAGAAAATGAGGCATGTTTAACTAGGATCAGAGACTGAAGTGAACCAGTCGTGTTTTTTCTGCAGAGGAAGTGCAGGTGACATTATGATAAGAACTCATGGAGGCCAGATAGAGCGTGTTTAAACAAACTAGAACATCGTCCAGAGTTCTTTGCTGACAGAAGATCCTGAAGCCTCTGAACCGTCCTCAGGTCTGAGTCCAGTGAGTCTGGTACAGGCCGAGTCCTCACTGTCTCTTCTTCCTGCTCCGTGTCGTCCTCTCAGTCCTGGCCGTGGACATCGATGCAGTCCGCTTGGACATGGCTCGGCACAATGCTGCCATCTACAACGTGGCGGACCGCATCGACTTCCTGCAAGGCGACTTCCTCCAGCTGGCGCCCCGGCTGCGTGGCGACGTGGTCTTCCTGTCGCCACCGTGGGGAGGACCAGACTACCTGACTGCGGAGGTGTTTGACATCGGTGCCATGATGGAGCCTGACGGATATCCTTTCATGTAGCAGCAGGAAGGCGGTTGACCCGGTGGGGATGAGGGGCGGAGGGAGACGGATTATTTAGAGCAGAACGGACTCTGTTTCACACTCGGGGCTCTGTCCATAACGTCCATCTGCTTTTCCATGTTTGTGTTTTGTTGTTTGTAGCTGAAGTGCAGACGGTGTTCTCTCCGTCTTCTGAACTAATTGCACACAAACCAAAGCTCCTCATGTGCTCCTGTTGGCCGTTGTACTTTACTGCGAGTCTTACACGACTGCAGAGGAAGCATCTGATGATTACTCCAATGATTCTGCTCACCTTTATGCATTTCTTGCTCTTTGCTCCTCTTACAGATATTCAGAGGCTCAGAAAGGTCGTGCGTGCTGCAGTAGTCTGGTCAAGGTGTCTCCTGCTGGTGTTACTGTCTGCTGATGCGTAGTTCTTAAACTACTGGAGACGTTCGTGGTCTCCAGAGGCTTGAACCTCGTGCTTTTCCTGACTAACCGACATTCTATCCAGCAGCATGTTTTCATATGTTAACATGGAACAGGATAGTCCAATGCAGACGTTTGTTGAAGGCACACTTTTCTTTCTTCTTTTCTGGCTGGACACTGTGGCGCCGCCCTCAGTGCTAAACGCCGCCTCTACACACCATACCTGAAGCTTTTCAACAAGTGGACTGTATGTTCATAACACACTGTCATAGAGTTTATCCTTAACAGGAGACACATTTGAGATTTTCCGCCTGGCCAAAATGATATCAGACAACATCGTGTTCTTCCTGCCTCGCAACGCTGACATGGATCAGGTCTGTATGTTCATCATGTGTAAATGAAAGGTGGTAACAGCATTTACCTTCTAGCACTGTAGCTGCTGTTTGGTAGGAAACAGCCCAGAGCGCTCCAGTCTAAGGCTACGAGTGCTTCAGCGTAGCTCCAAGTAGACCTGTTAGTCTGGTGTCCAGGCTCCTGGAGCTGAAGATGCAACCCCGGTCTGGACTGTTGGGAAGCATTTGCTTCATATTGTAACACTATTGAATCATGACTGTCTTGAATGCATCAATAAATGTATTAGGTGTGCCAATGCATAATTACACAAGTATTAATTAATCAATGCATGATTAGAAAAACCGTACAGATTATATGTAGCGGTGTGCTGTGGCTGTTGGTCGCCATTTGTTGTAGAATTTTTACAAAATTTGTAAAAATAAAAAACCAGTTAAATTCCAAATTAAAATGAATGTCAGCCGGACAGCCGCCAAACCGCTGTAGCTCTGTTCACAGCAGGAACTTCATTCAGGTCACAGCGTCATTCAGAGTTCAGACGTGTCCCAGACCAACACCCGTCAGCCGCACAGTGTTCAGCGGCTCCATATCTGCTGGGTTACGGCTCTCTCCCAGGTCACAGTGGTGCCGGGATCAACAGCAGCTGCATGTTGTTTGTTTGTTTGTTTAAAAAAGAGAGGAAAATGACTCTAACAAGGCAGAGAGAAGGAAGTTTACGAATGTGAAAAAAACAAGTGAACAGGGATGAGTTAGAGCTCGCTGTCAGAATACAGGTTCTGAAATGTTACCAGACTCCATCACGAGATGGTCACAATAAAACCTCTGTGACGTTCAGAGGAGCTCGTCAAACGCTGCTTTTCTCTCTCGTTCTCACACATACATACTGCTGACAAACCACCTGAAGATCTGTGTTCACCTTCAAAATCCAGGGCTGAGGAAGCAGCTCAATTGGAACCTGGATTTAACTTTTATTTCTCTTAAGTCTCGGTTCCATAGCCCATGAAAAGCCCTTGTATTTACAGGAAGTCAACAAGATTATGTGAAGTTCAAAGTCAATAAAATGTACTGTAATCTAAATTATACCTTTATAATATTATATATAATCATAGCAGGACAGAAGCTGCATTGACACACTCAAGACTTCTTCCGAAACATCCAAGTTGTGCACTGCGTTTGGCGTCTCAGTGAACGCCGACATCAGATTTCTGACACAATCAATTTATTGGGTAGTGAATGGCAGAGTGTATGTGAATTATTCATACATGTGGTTTCATGTGTAGAATGTTGTGGCACATACATGGTACTGGGTAAAGGGTGCAGTGTTACGTATTGATGAATGTGCTGTTACCACCTGTCTGTTAATGCGCCTTCTCCGGGACCGCTCCGTTATAGGTGGTCTCTCTGGCAGGTCCAGGAGGAAAGGTGGAGGTGGAGCAGAACTTCCTGAACAACAAGCTGAAGACGGTGACGGCTTACTTTGGCAGCTTGATAAAATGTGACAGCAGTTAACCTGCAAAGGAAAAGACTGCTACGAGAACAGACAGAGCTAATCCTCTTGTACGGCTGTTTCTGCTGTTGCCTGCTGGACTGGATTCACATCACGTTTCATTCACGCTGAGGATCTGCTAGTAACATGTGCAACAGCTGGTTTAGTTTCTAGGCTTTGGAGGGATTTTGTTTTGTATTTTGCTTCTGTCATTCATCCAAAGTGACAGTTCCTTACCCCCGGTTTTAAAAGGAGCGACTGTGTGAGACGACTGCAGTTATGAGAGTTTTAATTAACGATTTTTACTGTTCATTTGGACCTAATAAATGCTTTTCAGGATTTTTTCTTCTCGTCGTCTTCAGTTAACAGGACAGTGTTTTGGCCCTTGATGTGTTTGACCTTCACTGTGCAGGATGAGGATGATGATGATGAAAATGGACTCAGTTGGATCAGAGGTCAGATCAGATCACTGAAACACTGTAAGCCCCATGAAAGAGAACTGCTCGTAGGATTTCTACAAAGCCCAACCAAACCCTAAATGACCACAGAAGAGCAGTGGTCAGTGCACTGTTCTACCAAGAAAGAACACGTGCACTCATCAGTAGAAGCCCTTCCCTACATCCGTCCTTGGTGTCTGTATTTCTATGTGATGCCTCTTCCCCTGACCCTTCAATGGAAGCAAATGTAATTAAATATAGATGGAAGCTTTGAGGCAGAACTGATCAGCCTGTTTCATGGAATCTGCACATGGAGCGTTCCTGATCAGCTGCTGTCCTGACAGCTGTGTATGAACCACTGCTGTTTGTGTGCAGCAGCTTCCTTTGTTATTGTACATTTACAGCATTTGACTGCCTACATAGTCATGCAGAGGGCTGCAGGTGTCTTGGTGGTTAGCACCGTGGCCTCACAGCTATAAGGTCGCCGGTTGGCGTCCCGGTGAGGACACCCGGGATCTTTCTGCGTGGAGTCTCCATGTTCTCCCCGTGCAGCATGGGTTCTCTCCGGGTTCTCCGGCTTTCTCCCACAGTCCAGAAACATGCTGAGGTTAATTGGTGATTCTAAATTGTCCGTAGGTGTGAATGTGAGTGTGCTTGGTTGTCTGTCTCTAAGTGTAGCCCTGTGATAGACTGGTTACCTGTCCAGGTGAACCTGCCTTCACCCTGAGTCAGCTGGGATAGACTCCAGCCCCCCCCATGACCCTCGTGAGGATTAAGGTGTAGAGATGATGGATGATGTACACAAGACACTGAAGGACTTACCACAGAGTTTATTGTTTGTTCTTATTTTTGTACATTTGTTCCTCAGTTCATGTAACTGGGAGAAACTTTTCTTAAAGTTTAATGTCCTGGATGTGGCTTTGACACTATCTACAAATGATGTAATCCTATAGATGTTTCACACATTCATGTTCATGTGCCTTGTAGTCAGCCTATGTAATATACTGGAATTATTAATAATAAATCATATATAGCCTTTTCCCTGTACTTTCCTGCTCCGATTGCGTCTGTTTCTGTGCATGTAATTATGCATTCTCTACATTTTCAGGAAAGATTCACGTGAAATACCACAAAGGTACGTGGGCATCTAGCACAAAGCACACAGAGGGTTTACCACTCTGACTTACAGGAGCTGTTCACTGAGGTTTTACTCTTTCAACACATGAAGATTACTGCAGAGGAAAAAAATTCACATCATCCTCACTTATTAAACAACCAAAGCCTTCCAGTCCACAGCTTTCACATTAGACTCCCATCAAGTGCCCAAATCATCACTGCTGCCTCAGTGTAATGGACATCCTCCCTGTTTGCTTCTGAGGGCTGTCCGACCAGCCAGCTGGGAGTCAGGACCCCCTGCAGAGCCCACTCTCTCTCTACCCCTCTTCTGGCTAGGCCTTGCTCGAGCGCTCTGTTATTCCTGTCATGGCTGCAGTTTGGTTGACTGGAGACAGCAGCAGGGATTGGCTCACCTGTCCACAATCACCTGTGTTCCACAGAAGCTCAGCTCATCCCTCCACTCTCTGCCAGACCATACTATCCCTGTCGACGCCCGACCTGTCTCCTACCTGTCACCTGAGCGCCCTGCATCACAGCCAGCCTGGAGCTGCTGCTGCTGGTCCCCGAGCCTTCCCATCCCTTTAGTTCCTTGTCCCATGAGTGTTCCTGTTTTGTTAGTACTAGCGTACTTTATCGGCCTCCCGTTCTGTTAGTTTGAGTCCTGTCCGGGTTTTTCTATGTTAGCTCCTTTTTGAATCGGGTTCGGTTTGCCTCTGTTCAGTTCTCTCCTCCTGTTTCGTTTTCCTTTCCAGAGTGGTTGGTTTTTATTTTCTTTGTTCTTAACAGGAAGTATCCCCGTTTTGTTGGCCTAGCTTGAGTTTATTAGGGTCTGAGCACCAACAGTCAGAAATAATCAGCTTCAGTGTTTAGTTCAATAAACACATGAACACATTGAACAGTTTCTACCAGCATTCCTGTCTTCACCGTGTGCAGAAGCGGCACTTTTTCCCGTCACAATGTTGATGTTCCTCATTGTTCTCCATTCAAACAACGTGCTGACTGAAGCAGCTGCTCACCATCGTCTACTTTAGAGCAGAAGAAGAGTCACGTGACGTCTTCAGCGCCTCCTTTAATGTGAACAGAGTCTGCAGCAGGAAGTCTGAGCTGACAAAGTTGAACCTGCTTCGTGATGCCTGTGATCTCTGCTGGGGCTTTAGTTTCTGCTGAGGCTGTCAGACTGCCTTCACAGTGCAGCCCTCTGGTTGTTGATTCTGTTTAAGACTGACAAGATTTTATTATACATGCAGCATGTAAAGCAAATTTCTTGTGAATTGTTTTCTGAAGGAGCGTCACAGTGCTTCCCCTTATGGACCATATTGCAAGTGAATATGACTTGCCGTTGAAATGCTTTAGATCTTCCTCAATACAGGAGCACATGAAGCTGACTCAGCTCATTCTCATCTGATCACATGACAACAAAATCAAATGAACATCACCAAATCCATACTTTGACTTCCAAGATCTGAGACATTAATTTCTCACACTATGTTTTGAAATGCCTCTCTGCTTAAATTAGGTTAAACTTATTCTATATCATAAAAAAGACCTTCAGACCAGAATGACTGGAGTGAACCAGTCACGATGCAGCAGGGACAGAAATTAGGTCACATCATTGAGACATCATGGTCTTGGTTCAGTCCTCAGCATGGCCGGATAAATTACTGTGGAAAAGTAAAGAAGAAATTCTTATCATGCCCCCTGAGTCCCAACATCACGGAACAAGTTTAATCACAGCAGCATTATTCATGGCTCAGTCCAGAGCGCCAGGTCTTTAGCTCATCCCATCCTTAGACAGCACTGGAACCAGCACCATGCTAGTTGGTGTTGTGGGTAAAACAATAGCTTTATTTTGTTTTTTTATAATTCATGAAGCAACAGCTTTACTAAAGTCTGTATGTGCTGCTGTTTGTTTGAAACTACGTCAGCTGGTCGCTTGAACCAGTGCAACAACACCAGAGTTCATGTTTCCTGGTTCTGCTGTCATGAAGCCGGCGACCGGCTCATCTGGGGGAGAAGTGGGACGCTTCTCATGCAACTACTCTAGATTTCTATTCAGGATTCTGTCAGTGGCAGGTCTCTCCCTTAAGACATTTCTGGCACTGCTACTCAGATTAAATGTTGAATTTACAAACCAGACCCTAAAGCAGCACATCTGGAATAAGTGCAGCGTCTTTCTCTCTCTCTGCTGCGCTTGTTGAATCTGTATGATGCTGACAGACTTTGTCTCAGGGTCAGATGGAAACCAGTGAATATCTGACTTCAACTACTGATCCTAAAAAATAGCCTAAAGAAAGTTTTAAAGTGTGGATATATCACATATATGTTGTTTATACTGTAGATATATTAAAAACAAGACAAAAGTAATCCAGTCGAGTTCAGAAGAGTATTCATAACTTGGTGGTTTGGGGGAGGTGCTGAAGACGCCATGTATTCACGCATCACGGCTTCAGTGCTGCTCTGACTGACACGCTGCTGCTGCTTCGGTGACGGGCTGAACAGCCGAGCGGCTCCGGAGGCCGTCCTCTGGCTCGCTGGGTCCACTCTGGAAGCAAAATGAAGAGATAGAGTCGAGTAGTAAGTCTTCCCAGTGCTCAGTGGGTCTACGGGTAAATATTAAGACATTCTGGTCACACTTGACTCTAACGATGGGGCTGGACAGCATTTTACCTTCAGTCAATGAAATCATCATTTAAAAACTGCATTTTGTGTTTTCTTGGGTTATCTTTGTCTTATATTAAAATAGTTTGATGATCTGAAGCACTGAAGTGTGACAAATGTGCATCAACAGAGCTTCTGTCACTGATCTGCTTCGTTCCTGACTGACTACCTTCTGTGTAACCTCAAATACAAACGCACATAAAGCAACAATCAGAAACCTGGCCAAGGTGTGAACATATCCACAATATCCTGCCACATCTCAGAGGACTCTCGCTAGCATATTCAGATGTATTTATTAATATGAACTACAGCCAGGCTTGTCCAAGAATAGATGACGAGGTGTACTGTGACACCCATTCCATTTCATGTTACAGCGCTGAGGCTGCCTTCCAGTCTTTAAACTGAATATACAATGAAAGAAGTAAGAGTTGTCAGAGGAGTGTTCGAAAGAATTCAAACAAAAAAAGAGATTTCTGATAAGACAGCAGGATGCTGAGACAGCTCTTTATTTTTTCCACTATCCCAGGCTACTCTGAAAGGTAATTTGAAGTACTGAAAGGCTTCCGGTACCTGCGTCAGCGAGGCTAAGTCCTGTGTCCGAACACAGAGGACCGGCTTCTCGAGCTTCTCTTGGAGCTTCTCTTGGAGCTGGGAGGTTACGGGGGTGATGGGGGGCAGTAGGCATGATAACTGTGAGGATGACACGAGGGGACATCCTGTTTGAGGAGGGACAGAGGAGGAGGTCTGAGAGGAGTTCTGAGAATAAGGTGGAGAAGTGAAGGGGTTTGAGGGGAAGCTGGGGGAAGAAAATAATGACTGATATGAAGACGACTGGAGCAGTGAGATGTCAATGAGAGGGGCTGAGTCACAACCGAGAGAGTTTGATTCCAGAAGTTGGTTTTCATTTGACTGCTGGAGGGTGGTGGCCGGTGACTTCTCTGTGGGGTAGAGCAGGGTTGGTGTGCCGTCTGGAGATGCAGCAGAGGAGTGGATGGGGGAGGAGGGTGCGTTAGGTGAGGATGTCAGGGTGCTATAGGAAGGTGGGATTGTTGGCATCTGTCTTTGAAGAAGCTGCATAATGATCCCTATGTCTGCTGACATACGAGACTCCAACCTAGAAAACACAAACATGGATGAAGATGTAGCTCGAAGAGGTTCCAGATATGAAGCAGACTGCAGGGCTGCAGTAGGACAGCATCCACTCGGGCCTGACATGGATTCTACATAGAGCTGCAAAGTTGGAGGGATTTGTGTGTGTGTAGTTTTACTGAACGCTAAACTTTCTTTTCAAAACACCAACATAATGTAGGTGCTTGTCATCTGGGCTGATGACTGGAGTGGAAGAATGTGCAATAGCTGGAGACAGTACGGACACTGCATAACCTGGACTTCCATAGACAGCCTCCAAGAAGGTCATCCTGCTCGCTCTTCTGCAGAGCTGGACTTAGCTGAAATGCCTGAAAAGAAACCTGATGGATGTTGAGAGCACAGTCTTTGGTCAAATGAAACAAAGATTCATTTGGCCAGTTCAGGCCTCGTTTACACGCAGCAGAAACGCTGATACCTCAGTGGGTCTTTGGTTCACATGGAGCCAAAGCTACGAGTCACCGAAACCATCAGATCTGAAAACTCCGGCCACAGTGGAGATCTGGAAAAACTCTGTCTTTACGTCTGCATGTAGACATGAGGTCTGACGTCACAGTGAGCGACTAAAGCGTCACATGTGTGCGACCATGTTTGCAGTCTGGCTGCTGTGGTAGATGGATGCTGTTTCCTTGTTGTGTCTCTGACACCACATGTAGGAGCAGCTCCACCTCTCTGTCGGTCCAAACAAACCACCCTCGCTCCGTTATCTCCGTCCTCTTACCGACGGGTTTATGCGGGTTTGTGTAAACGAAGGTTTTTTTGAGAACGATCTGGTGAACAATGTTTTGTTTGAAAACGTGGATCCGTTTTTGTGAATACCGGCTACGTGTGAACGTGGCCTCAGACAGGGTTCAGCATAGTTTTGGCATTAAGGAAGAGGGAGTCCAATGATACGAGGCTTAACGAGTGCATCAGGGACATTTCATTTATGCCAGTAAGAACATCAAAATACTGGCTGACAAAACTTTAAGTAGATATCGAGTACATCCCTCTCTGTCTGCTGAGTTGTAGTCCTTCAGTGTGGCACATTCGTGTACGCATTGCTAAAAGAATGTGGCCACATGTGAGCCAGACTGCATCAGAGGATCATATCTCAGTGTCCTTCATGCCTGTTGGAGGCTTTCCTGCCTGTACTCAGAGTTCTGATCCTGTTGTGATCTAATCACTCAAGACGCAAAGCGCCAGGTGTTGACAGAGTCTCTGCCGGTTGGTAGACTCTACCAAACCAGTCACTGGTTGCATTCCATCCAGTCTGATGTAACTTGAGAGGATCTGTCAAGAAGAAGGCACACAACGCTGACTCAGACCCATGAAGACTCAAACCTGTAACTGCTGCCAATGACCCGTTTTTTTCTTTCATTCTAAAATGCTGGATTTGAATGTAAATGTTATTTATGTGAGTGTTTGTTTTTAATTGATAAAAATAAAAAAATATAAGCACGTTACTCAGACAGTGTCCAAGCCCGTCAGAACACAAATAATCATTTCGATATTATTATTAAATATTAAACACTGTTTTATTAGATCATATAAGATGAACTAAAAGCAGAAACTTGTCTTCTCTGGAGTGGCTGCACACAAAGCGAGGCGTAAGGTGAACAGCTCAGCAAGCTGCCGATGTAACAGGTGATCATTCTGCGCTCTCAGCCTCTGTTTAGCTGCTGTTGCAGTATTTTTACTTTAAATCTGATATGAATGTAAAGTCACCACACAGCAGGTGAAAAACACCTTAAAAAAACCTGTGACTCACTTGCTTATTTGATGCTGCAGTGCCTCCAGCTTGTTCTCCAGATCCATCTTATTCCTCCAAGAGATGATGGAAGGAGGAGAAATCAGAGGAGTGGGACTGGACGGCCAATGAGAGGAGGAGGCTGTATGAGGGATGTGCTGGGAGGGAGGCTGAGCAGGAGGAGAGCTGAGACTACACAGGTACGACACTTCTTGGTATCTCTGTTCCTCCTGAGTCTGTGCTCCTGAGAATGTAAAGATGTTGGACACTTGTGAGGATCAGATACAGGTACAGGACACAACAACACGTTATTCATTTAAGGTTGTCTCTTTAAAACCGACCTGCATTCATGTGGTTCTGTGGAGCGCTGCTCATCTCTGGATCCTCCTCGTTGTTCTCACCAGAGAACCCAGGCGCATATCTGCAGAAGCATTTAGTTCACAGTTTTCTTACACACAGGAGTAGAAATGAACATCTGTTCTACCAGAGGTGAACAAAACAGTCACTTACAATGAATGTTCATCTTTACTGCAGTCGTCCCACAGCTCCCAGCTGTCCAGCTTTCTCTTACACCTGCCCGCTGCTCTCTGCCTCCTAGTGGTGATGGCGTCACCTGGCAGGTAGAACAGAACCTCTGTATTAGTGAAGCTGATGCTGACGCAGGAAGTCCAGAAAAAAAGTCCAGATAATCCAAACGGTCCCGTTAAGAACAGTGAAAAAAGGTTTGAAAAACCAAGCGATGAAAATGTTAAAAACAGGTAAAAAAAACAGAATTACTGAGCGAGCCGACCGGTCGGCCACACGAGTACTGACCCGGTAGCTCAAACGCATTTTAAAAAACAGAAGTATGTTTTCATCTTCCCGTGGTGTCACAGAAGGACGCAGGTGTGCCTCCAATTAACTCAGATGTATCAGTTAACCTATCAGAAGCTTCCAAAGCCATGACATCATCGTCTGGGCTTTCCCAAGCAGTCTGAAGGATCTTCGTGGATGTAGACTTCTCTCTCTCATTATTCTGGTGTTTAGCAAATAGAACTAGTGCTGGTGATCCTGACTGACCTGAAACAGGAAGAAAAATAAGCTTTTATTTCTTTTTATACAGTTTCTGCAAACGTCTGGTTTCAGCTGTCTGGAGTGAGCTCTTCAGGGAAGAAACTACATGGTAAAATGCATTAGTCTTCTACGATTACAACAACTGTCACAAGTTAAAGAATGCACCTCAGAATGTATAGATAGGTTTGGAGAGCTATCAGGATGTGAGCATGGAATGGGCCAGGGCTGGGTTGGATATTCACTGATACCAGGAGCAGAGGATGATCCAGCATCTCCATCTGAGCAGTGGAGACCAGGTGAGGTCCTGATTAGTGTCCTACTGGGATGGAGGGGCCATGACGCTGATTATGCAAACCAGAAAAGCAGCGCTGGCGGTGACCAGAGATGGTGAAGGCAATAACATAGCACAAAGGGTGTCCTCATTTCTGCTGAAATTGCAAGAATAGAGAGGTGAAGGACTGTTCTGTGACGTAGGGCAGGTACCACATGTGCAGCTTGCTAATTATCAGAATCAGAAAAACATCTCCTGTAAAACAAACTCCCATCAGTATGATTCTCTCACTGACGGGTCATGGATGCATACAGGACCTCATTGAGCTTGTAATCAATCTACATGCACACTAAGCTCGTTACTGCCGTATCAAGTGGCCAATGGGAGCACAGTTGGCATCAGAAGCTAAACAACACATTGCATACAAAGGAAGTGCGTACTGGGACATGTGGCTCTTTACAGCTGATACACAGTCTTTCATCTGCATCCCATCAGCGGAGTCCTGACAGTTCCACCAGCATGACGGAGGCAGAAGTCTGGCTGGTCACATGACCCATTAAAAATGCATTCTGTGATGGTAATAATTCAATTAGCACTTATGCAAGCGATGGATGTGTATTACAAAGCCACACGTACTGTTTTGTGTTATTCTATGTTTCACTTAGTTGAATTATGAGGATCAGTGTTATTTAAATTTCAGCCTATCAGGGTTATTCTTCAGCCACATCTGACATCCGACTGCATGTCCTGAAATGATGTCAACATTCAACCATATAATGACACGCTGAGAGTATCCGTGGTTCCAGAGCCCAGAGGTTTCTCCTTGAGCTTTCCACTCACACAGACTCTGTTCCAGCCACCATCACAATACGTCATGTAAAATCTTATCAGCTCAAATTCTTGTAAAGACACAACTTCTTACATGAACACAAGTGTTTTGTGTTCTATATATTGCACATGTACAGTTTAACTGAGAACATTTGCACATTCTTGGTAAATATCATGATGTAAGTTTCAGTACATTTTGTAATCTCAAGAGCTCTTTTAACATTAATGTAATTTTATTTGTTTTATTAAATTATTTTACACCAAAACATCACAGCAAATGTTGTGTACGTGTAGACTTACCTGGCAATAAAATGTGTAATGTAATATGTAATAAAAACATACTTTTTCTATTATTAAAAAAACAAGGTCTACTATAATTGCTATTGCTATAATCGCTGTCTGTGTGTCCAGTACCTGTGATGGTAGAACTGTTGTGTCTGTATGGTCTGCTGAACCCATCCTCGTCATCTGCACTCAGAACACCTCCAGATTTACTGTTCACCTGCAGATGGGGAGGGGCAGGGAAGCATATGCATAGACAAAGAAAATGCACATTTATTATAAATACAATTGGAAATGAGCCATTTAAGATGCTGGTCCGTTGGAGCGGCCTGTTTCAGGCATTTCACTTTGCAGAAATGCTATACATGTATTTAAAGTTGGCTGATGTACACCCCATCAGAAGTGCTGGATTCAGAACCTTCAAATTCAGTCTCCATTTTTGAAAAGTCACAATTTCTACACAGCCTAAGTCAATACAGCAGCTGTAACGTCGGCAACGTACATCTCTGAGGTTGAAGGTGATGTCCAGGTTGGACCAGAAATATTCACAGAAGGTAGGGTAGATGTCCAGGACCTAGAAACACAAACAACAAAGGTGAGTATCACTGGTACTGTAAATATGCAATCAGAAACATAACAGCTGTAGGATATGGACAGACACAGATGCCCAAAAGGATTCAAAGAAGAAACTTCATGTGAACTTTCCAGCACCCAAGTCACATGCCATAAAACAAGACAGAACTGTCCTGCAAATCACAGGGCCATGTAAATCAACTCTGCAGACTCGGAGGAGTCGAAGCCAGAGGAAGCAGAGCCCCATTAGGAATTTCCTTATCACACCTACTTCGAGCCTCAAAGGATCCAATACAAATAAGCTTTTGGGGGAAGACAAAGAAAAACATTCAACCACATGGACCTTAACAGATGGCCAGGCGCAATGAAGTGCCCTGGCCTTAACATATTGCTCTGCTGACCCCTCATTTCCTGTGGCATGCAACAAAGAAACTTAAGAACTAAATTTATGAATAAACAAGTGGAGACAGCACCACAGGATGTGCCTTATTATCTTGTGTTAAGTTTAATCGTTAAATGTTATGATATATCATGTCCTGATAAATACTCCAAAGCTTAATTACAGTTGGATAAGTCCTTCTTTAATTTATCAGCTTGTTATATTACCATATCCTAAGCATTGTGTTATCTCTGTAACCGTCCGACATAGATTAGTCATGTTTACACTCCCCGTGAAGCTCTACATGTGACACATTCATTTCCAACAAACTTAACTTTGTATAATTGAAAGTACATATAGTTTTGAAGGAACATTGTTACTTTCAGAGCAAAACTCTGACCAACTCATGACCTCCATGTGATACTTGAGTGTCATATCTAACAGCCCTCCTGGGAGTGGAGCTCGCTGTGATTGGTCAGTAGTTTTACTATTAAAAAGCCTCTTCACCCGAAAAGCAGTAGCATTCTCTGGCGGTTTCTTCTAACTGCAGGAGAGATGCTCACTTTGTGGCATTCTCCGGTGGTTTCTTCTAACTGCAGTAGAGCTGCTCACTTGGTCTTCCATGTCCTCAACTTTGACTGCCGCACCCTGATCTTCCCGCTCTGAAGCTGAAGGCCTCGTCTCTCCATCAGGCATCAGACGTTGTTGCACTTGCATCCCAATCCAAGGACGCGGCAAGTATTGAACTTTCATCTCTAAACGGGTGTTTCATAATTACAATTGGCCTCTCAATCAATATTCCAAATTTAACAGATTATCTGCTGCTTCGAGTGAAAAGACTTTTAAGTCTCCAAGCCACCACTCTGTTTCACATTAGGTTTTCACACTCATATTCTCAACCAGCATTTTCATCATTGTTTGTAATTTTATATTCTATGTTTATTGTTGTTATTAGTTTGTTTGTTTAGTTAGTAATAAATGTTTTGTGTGTATACAGTTGTTTCCTGTGTTTTCTATGGCTTACATCCAGTCACTTTACGTATCTGATCTTTAGTTACCTAAGCTCTAAGTTAATTCCCTTAACTTTACAAAACACTCTTGACTGATCACCAAGAGTAAACAACTTATTAGAATTTTTGTGCTGACTCTGAAATTATATCGGTGGACGAATAATGTAAAGGTTGGTATTAATAATTTTAATTCACACAATCATTTTCTTTGGTGTGAAAATAAGCACATCTTATTTTCCACACTAAAACCCTACACAGCCAATATCAATACTATAAAGTTTATTACTTTTGAAAAAACACACGTATACACCCAGCCAACCTTCTGGCTGATGATTTTAGGTTTTCCTGAAGAAAATAGAGATAATCCTTCTTCATTGTTTATTTTACTTAAAGCACCAGCTCCACTGGCACCAAAACAGCCCCAGAGTATGATGCTACCACCGCCATGCTCGACAGTAGGTCTGGTGTCTTACTGGTGAAAGTCCTCCTATTCTCTTCTCTAAACATATTTCTGATCATTGTGGCCCAAAAGCTCAATTTGTGTTTCATCTGACCACAGATGTTTCCTCTCGAAGGCCTTTTCTTTGTCTAGATGACAGGCAGCAAACTTCAGTCGAGCCTTAAAGGTGCCGTTTCTGGAAGACGGGCTTCCTTCTTGCATGGTGTCCTCTCAGACCAAGGCAACGTGAAACACACTTCACTGTGGACACGCAGCTTCTAATCCACTGCAGACCTGCTCTCTGGTGATTCTTGGTTAACTCTTGACCATGCTGACTTACTGTCTTTCAGGTGATGTCTTGTTTGTTCTTCCTGCAGTGACACAACTCTACCCTGCGTTTTATACCTACAACGGGTTGCACAGATCATTTTGTAGCAGCTTTGAAAAGGCTCCAAGTGACTTTTTTATTTGTTCAAGTCAGTGATTTGTTTCTTTAGATCTTGGCTGAGCTCCTCAGACTTGTCCAGACTTTTTTTTTGGTGTTTATGGCATGGTCTAATAGGTGTACCACACAGGCCCTCAATAAGTTGCTTTAGATGAGACACCAGCTGCATCGTAATCACTTCAGTTCAGAGGCCATGCCATTGATCAGCACAGCTTTCCACGTCAAAACTGATCATTCAAGTTTTGTAAGTATATTTTTGACACAGCAGATCTTCTCAGATCCTTTTCAGAAGACCTACAACAAATATATGAAGTAACCAAAACGTATAGTTTCTATTTTTGTCTGACAAAGACACGTGTACTAATGATCCAGTCATAGAAACTTCAGAGTTATAAGAGCGATTGAAAACTCATGACTGCCACGGTATACATGGTCTGTTTTATTCACCACTGTAAGCGCAGACCACAGCAACCTCCTACAACAAGAACCAGACATCATCACAAGGGCAGACACCCAACAGCAAGTCCTGAGTCTCAAGCATGAAGAACTGGACGGACCCAAACCTGATATCCAGTCCTACTGTCTGACGACTGCTCTCTATAATCATCTGGCAAAAAAGCACCAAGACTAGCCCACCAAAGGGAGGACAGTCTTGGTCATGAAGGATCAAGGGTACAAAAGCTCTTAACTCATGGCCAGTAACCTGCCTTTGCACAAGGTGGAACCTCCTCTCAAACACAGCAGCTAAGTTGGATTAATGAGTTTCAGAGCTACTATCCACGAACGCATCAACATAGTTGCCCCATAAGTGGGCTGTTGCAAATAATACAACATTCCCAGCTGACAGCAACATCAGGAGAAAGAGCATGACAAAACTGAGAAGGTAAAGCTAAAGGAACGGCCAGGTGTAGAAGATCAAGTGGTCAAAAGAAAATGGGAGCATTTGAGTTTGTGACTGAAAAACTGGCTCCAGCAGATTCCAGGTCCAACATCTGAGGTTTCCATCCAGAAGAGTGCCGTCCTAGACACCGTTTACTGCACAGAACCCTCAGACTCTCTGGCCTTGGGTAGATGAAGCTAAGTTATTTATGTTTCATCATTAATTATTCTTTTTCTCCAGAAACTAGATGGATAAAGGTTGGAAAGCAAAACCAGATACCTCCAACATATCCTTTCTTTGTATCGTGTGCAGATCACAGTAGGTCAGAGCTTTGACATCAGCGCTGGATTTTCCTGGCAGGCCATACAGATTAATGGGCTCCCCAAAGATATCGTTCTTCCCTGGGAGACAAGAACATGTGGTCATGATTTGAGCATAGTAATCTTGATGTGTTCATGCAGGAGACCTTATGGTGACTCTTGAAAGAAGTTCCTAGCCTGTACCTGAGAGTCACACCAGCACCTACCCAATATAGCTACCACCACATCTCCTTTAAGGATCTCTATGGATCCTCTGGAGATAAAGTACAGAGCAGATATAAGGTCTCCAGCATGGACCAGGGTGTCACCAGGAGGAGCGTGAGTCGTCTTGAACCTCATTGCCAGGGCCTTCAGACACCCCTTGGTGGATCCTAGACACCAGAACAAATGCAATGTATTAGTTCATGTGTTTTTTTAGTTAGCATGCAGTAGTGGAGTCAAAAGACATCAGGGATCATTTTTGATGAGTCGTAGCAAAAGAGAGAAGCTGTTTTTTATCATTTTAAAAACCAAGAGCAGTTTATGGGATGAATGTCACAATTAAATCCTCTAAAAAATGTATTTCATCAAGTCATTTCCTTTACATGCTTTTTCATAGAAGAGAGGGACGATTATGAGCCATTCTGTCTGTTCTGATCTTTATAGCCTGGTGAACAGGTAGCCACCGGAGCTGGTCTATGCTAGTGAACTGTAGCGTGCTTCTATTAATGGTTTTTACCTTGGATCACCCAGCCTATCCTGAAAAAAACACTATTTATGACAATCTATCTTTGGCTTGCTCTACTCAAGCACCTCCTTGGTAATATAATGCTTAAAGTGGCATTTTGATTCTGCTAGGTTAGCAGTCAGCCAAATAGGAAGTAATGGCTTCTGGCTCTCCATCTCCTTCTCTCTCCTGCTCCTTGTGCCACAGATTTAGTTATTCCCCTGCCTCCTTTAGTGATAATGGTATTTGTAATAAATGCATTACATAAATAATAAATGCACCGTAGTTTAATCGTAAACTCAAGCAAGTCCAGATTGTTATGATTGTTACGGGTTGTCCAGTTGTTCAGTTGTTACGGGGGGTTTGGTTCCTTCCCACTGTTGCTCAGAGGGAGTCCAAAGGCTGCTCTGGATTGTTGGTTCTCTGTTTAAACCTGTGAGGTCCGTACCGGACTATGTTAAGGCTGTGAGATGACATCTGTTGTAAACTGCGCTGTACAAATAAAACTGAATTGATATAACCTGTGACAGAGTCTGCAAATTGTACATTGTCTGCACTTATAAAGCGCCTTTCTACCTCAGTGCTACTCAAAGCGCTTTACAGTGTTCCTTATTCACACACATTCATTCACCAACGGCCACGGAGCTGCCATGCAAGCAGCTGCTGCCACTGAGAGCAACTTGGGGTTCAGTGTGTTGCCCAAGGACACTTTGACATGTTGGAGGGTGGGGAATCGAACTGTCAACCCGCTGAGCCACAGCCGCCCTCTGTGTGCTCATTAATGTCGCCGTCACAGGAGTCACCAGCTGTAGTCAATCACAATCATTCACCAGAAGTTCAGAGGCCACGGCACTGAGAAAATCTGATGAACACAGCTGTCTACATGACAGAAACTGATCATTCAATGTGCTGTGTGTATACCTTTGGCCCAATTGATTTTATCATATTGCCAGAACACCCATAATAAATATTATGTGTATGTGATTATGTCTTGTGACAAAGATGCATGTGTTTCATTGATTCATCATAATAAATTCAGAGCTATAAGAGTCATTGGAAACCCAACACTGTCATATGAGACATGGTCTTTACAAATGTATGGAAACTTTGTTCACAACTGTACGTCTACTTTTGATTTGCGATGCCAAACAGTATTACCTTTGAAAGCCTTGCAGTTCTGAAGCAGCGATCTGTTGAGATGGAGACAAATGTCTGCTTGGAGACACTCTGGGAAACCCTTTAAAACCTGGAGACAACAAGAGAGGACAAAGTTGTGTTCATACCAATGTGAACCTGGTGTGACCAGTGTTCAGCAACAGTTCTTGTGTTCTAGATGTGTTTATACAAAAGTGTTTGATGCAGTTAGAATACACTTACCAGTGTCACCTATCCACTGATAAACTGGTAGGTAGTTACAGCCCACAGCTCAGTAACCATCGACATCACAAATGCTCAGTGTCATACCTGCTTATGACTGCTTTTGGCCATTACTATGTGTACGCTATTCTCTAGCTGTGAAACTTCCATGTTACATATTCCTAGACAAAATTCTATCTGATCAAATTACCATGAACAAGTTGCTAAAAAACTAAACTTTTGGCTTGTGGAGATTGAAAGGAGACTGAGGCTACAGCAGCTGTCTGTGTTCACTTGTTGGTATACCAGCTTGGTTATGGCTGCATTCTTTCATAAAATGGAAGGATTGTTTATGGATTTCTTTTTTCCATCTCCCCCCATAAAGGAAGCTGACGTTTGAAGACAAAAACATTAAAGCATGGTGAACTTTTGTCATTATTGTTATTACACATAGCAAAGTATTAATTATGTCTGTTTCAGTCAGATAAGATGAGCTTAACTCCAGATGAGGTGTAAGTCTGTATGGCTGACAGAGACCAAAGTCTTCCATACTCACAGCATCCATATCGATGCCGTTAGTGTATGACCATGCATGTTGGAAGTACTCCTCCAGTCGCTGTCTCAGAGGGTTGGGAATCTGGTGGAAACGTATGAACTCTCGAACTCTCATCATCTGGGCGTGGTAGCGTGCTGTACCAGAGTAGAGTCGCTGGATAATGGCTGACACATTTCCAAAGATACTGGCATACATCAGAGCTGCAGAAGACAGCGAACCAGATACCTTTTGTTATGTTCCTATTACTGAAACAGAGGACAGTAATAATAGTTGATTACCAGCGGGGTGGCTCTGCAACTGTTTATGGACAATTCTTTGAGTGACTTTGTTGTTGTATAGGATACTGGAGATTAATTAGTACTTAGCAACAATGGAAGAGTCAATTTGACTATTGCAAGTCATTATTACTTAAGTAGGGCGGGGAAAATTACCTGCAGAGGTGTTCACAGTCGATAAAAGATAAAGGGATGTAATTCCTGCCACGCCACACACCTCCTCCGCCCTCATTCCCTCTACCGCTGTCAGCTAAGTGTAGTTTTCTTTAGCATTGTGTCCGTAGTTTTACTTCTGAGTGGACAGTGTCTGTATTCAGTGCTCACTGTCTAGTGTTTTCCTCAGACCACTGTTCGGCCCTGTTGGCATCCAGCAGAGTCGCTGCAGGTTGGTGTGTATTCTGTTACCATCCCCACCTGTTCTAGTCTTTTCTAGCTTAGTGTTACCAAGTCCTGGTTAGCCCCGCTCTGGGTACATTTACTTGTGATATCATTCATAGTAGCTAACTTAGCGCTAGTTAGCTTCTTGTCCAGTCTGGGCTTCCATAGTTGTTTCCTGTTCACGTGCTCCCTACGAATCTCCCGCATTCTCGTCTTGTCCTGCACTCTGTCCCCAGAGACATCAGCTCCCAGTATTCCCTTCTGTGTCCTGTGTTATCTGTATTTTGCACCTTTCTAGTAATAAATCATTATTCGCTCGTCTGCTGTGTCCTTGTCATCAGTCTCTGAATCCCAACAACAAATACAACAGGAACTCCATCAAGAGAGATGAGAAGCTCCTGTGCCACCTTTCCAAGCTAAGTAAAAACTACAATTTCAGGTGCTGAATATCGGATTTGCTACCACCTGCCCAACAACAAGCACATGGAAATACATAAATGAGTGGCTGGAGTAACTATTATTTCAAACATCACAGTGATGTGCAACCTGCTTTGTAGCTCCATTACTTCTCTCAGTAAAAACCTCGTGGCTGCTCGGGATTCTTTGAGACCTTTTTTAATGAACAGGTTATTTCTGTGAGATGTTGCTGACTCTAAGCACAACGTTAACATTTTTAGTACTTCCTTCAGAAACACTCATTTTAAGCCAAAATGTCTTTACTTCATTCGCTAGCTGGTCATTTATGGCAAAAAGAGCCTCAAATTTTTCATGTAAAACTTACCACCAATTAGCATGATGCAAATTGAGAAGATCTTCTCAGAATTGGTGTTTGGGGAGACATTCCCAAAGCCTACGCTGGTCAGACTACTGAAGGTGAAGTAGAGAGCTGTGACATATTTATCTCTAATGGAAGGACCCGACCCAGTGACGGATTCATTGTATGGTTTCCCCAGCTGGTCACCCAGATTCTCCAACCAACCAATTCCAGCTGATGTTGCCCGCTCCACATTACCTATGGCATACCTAGGGTAAGACGACAAATGGTTAAAGTTCTCTACTCAGTACTCGATCCAATTCATCAGAGGAATCACATACAGAAAAAAATGTCCTATTCTTTTATGTTGTTATTACTATCATCATTATTATCATTGTAATGATCATCATGGGCTGCAGGTGTCTCGGTGGTTAGCACCGTCACCTCGCAGCTAGAAGGTCGCCGGTTGGCGTCCCGGTGAGGACACCTGGGATCTTTCTGCCACCAAGCTGTGACACGCTGTAAATAAGTCCATGGAGAGCTTCCATCACCTCCCACATGGCTGCCCCACCAGTGAGTGGTCAGACCTTGATGTACCTACGATTCCTGCTGTGTCCACTGTGACCAGGTCATTCTCTGAGGCTTTGGTTTTGTGTGGACCCAGATGCAAACAATGGAGAGCAGTATGGTAAAAAGGGTAATTTATGATACAGAAAGTCTCAGAATTGTGCAGTGGAGGGTGATGCCTGGCTGCCTTGGTGGTGGACGACTGGAGATTGATGTTCACAAAAGTTCTTAGCTCTTTATAGTCTCGTAATTAGAAGCTTTGATTCCCATCAGGGACAGACACATATTCCTTATACCTCTGTTAAAATAATACAAATTTGTTGACAGGGCCCAACATGGCACTGTCACATGATGTTAATTTAACAATACAACTTCACGGTTATTTGATTTTGACTATAACTTGTGTACTACGTGAGCCAAATGAAAAATTCCTTCCTTCTGGGTTCAATGGAAAATTCCATAAATATTGGAAATTTTCTAAAATTATTGAAAAGTCACAATTTTTAAAGACTTTTCACATGTTTCAGATTTGATTTAATCTCCACAAAAGTTCCCCAGTCAAAGCACCACACTGTACATAAAGTATTACTTTTCTTTAGTTTAAGTTACATACAGAATACATACAGGTAAACCGAGTCAGGGAGTGTCAGAACCATTTGAAAGTATTAGCTAGTTTAAAAATGACATTGAATGATGTAGATTCTTGACTTGAACTGGTGCAGTCTGTTTAATATACCCAACACTAAGGACACAGTGTCTTATCATATTATATGTACAACACATACAACATGCGCTAAAGTGATGAGATGTCATTAAAATACCACAAGAAAAATTATCTGTGATCACAGTCTTGTGATATTTCTTTCAGTATCTTATGAAAAGGTAAAGTTTTAGTGCTAATGTAAGGTTTCTGCTGCAGGGCTTTCTTTTACTGAAAATAGGGAAAGCTGTTATATAATCTCTATGAACCAACATACTTCTACATAGCAACAAGTGAAAAGAGGGAGAGAAGTGAGAGAGAAGATTCCACTACTGTGAAGCACCTGAACAACATATAGCATAGCTAATGCCACTGCAAATATCTGAACAGTGATGCCAGTGAAAATAAAGCAGCTGTGTGATGTGTGCTGCAGCTGCTTGCATACTGGTGCTGCTGCTAATTTTGCAGGTCGAGGTTTCTGCAGAACACGAGTAGAACAGAGTGATATACCAGATGCAGGCCAGCCAGTGGGCGATGAGGGCAAAAGTGCACATAAGGAGGAAGAGGACAGCAGCCCCGTATTCAGAGTACCGATCCAACTTCCTGGCAACACGAACCAGACGCAGCAACCGAGCTGTCTTCAGTAAGCCAATCAGAGTGGTGGTCTGTTAGAAGGAGAGCAGAAATGTGACGATGTGAATGGATCAAAAATGGAATGTCTGTAAACACTGAAAACCATCTAAAATCCATAAAGACGACACTTCCTGGCTGCCAGATACGATTCTTCTTTCTTCTCTTTCTGCCATGTTTCTTGTTTCCCTGCAATCAGTCTTTTTCTTTTTAAAACAGGTTACCATCACCTCTGATCCCACCATCATCTTGTTTCTTGTGTCCTTCACCCTACCTCTCCCTCTCCACCTGCCCTAACCACTTCCTCTCCTGAGCGATAGATGAGGAGGTCGAAGGGAATGGCGGCCACCATGTCAATGAGGAACCAGCCTTTGAAGTAGTGGACTGCAATCCGAGATGATTGGCTCACCACCTTTGGAAACAAAGAGCAGAGGGTAGCTAACATCCATCACATTCCAAGTAGCATACTGTAACCTTCAAAGGACCAGTGTGTAGGATTTAGAGGACTGTATTATCAGAAATGGCACATAGTCTTCCTTTGAGTACGACTATCTGTAACTACTAATGGTTGCATTTACAACATTGCATTAACTTACAGTTGGCCCTCTACAGCTACTCTTACTTCCACATTGCCATGTTGCTCAGTCATGTTTCAGTCAAGTGTCCCAGAAATAACAAACCTAACATTTATTTATTTATTCGTTTATTTGGGCCGGACAATGCGTACTAATGAACGTACAATCTCAGGTTGCAGTAAATACGCCAGATTTAGCACAAGGCTGATTTCCATCCGGTAACGGATGGCTCTTCCAAGCTGAGCTGGATGGAGTCTATAATCCTTGAATCCATCTATGCACTCAAGCCTGACCTTCATTTGTGGCGTCATCATTGGGCTTCATGCCATCAGTCTCTGAATGAGCCATTTTAGGTCACTGTGTGGAGTGTGACTCGGTCTCTTTCTTGAGGAATTAAAGGTTCATTAAAGGAAATGAGGGTTGAAATCTCTTGTCCATTTTATTTATCCAGACACAGATGTGAATCTTAATTGCTATGACGATTTGTCTTGATGGTTGCCATGGTTCTAAACAAAGAATACACATACAACGTCTTACCCAAAAACACCCGCTTTCAAATCATGGTAAAAAAAAATTGCAAATGTAAGTACTATGAACGTCCATCCGTTATCTGTATCTATTGACTGCTTTATCCTGTGGGGGGAAGTTGAGGAGCTGGAGTCTATTCGAGCTGACTTTGGGCGAAGGCAGGGTTCACCCTGGACAGGTCGCTAGTCCATCAACCCTAACCACAACTGTACCATGCCATCTGCAAAAAGCAGAGACATAACTCTGAAGTTCCCACACCAGACACCCACCTCAAGCTAGCTGTACCTCGAGATCCTGTCCAAGAATATCACAAACAGAATTGGGCAATTCTGGTGGAGTCCAACACCCAGTGAACACATGTTTGACATCATGCTGGGAATCAAACAAAGCTCCCACTTTGGCTGTCCAAGGACCAGATGTCCCCTTACCAATAGACCATCTCACTCTGCTCTCCAACAGTAACCCCCACGGTACCTTGCAAGGACGTGGTCATAGGCCAACTGCAAGTCCACAGAACACTTGTAGACTGGATGGTTAAACTCCCATGTCCCTCTTTTTGAAAGTGGGAGCCACCACTGTTTCCATCTTCCACGCGATACAGAATAGGCCAGCCAGCCACCACCTCAACAGCACCTCCCACAGGGAGCCTTCAGCATCTCATAGCAAATCTCATCTACACCTGATGGTTTGCGCTGGGAAAATCTCGTAACTCCCTGAACTCCAGCAAAGATATAGGCGAGGTTTCCTCCTAGCCGACAGACTCTGCCTCCTTAACAGAGGATGTTCTAGCCAGGTTAAGGAACAACTACAAGTGCTTATCTGACAGTATGCCCAGTCTGGGTCAGCAGTTCTCCCACCAGGCTGAACATAGCTTGAGTCAAGCCCTGCTTTCTTTCCTGGCTCACTGAACTTACCAGACACTCCCTAAGGCTAACCAAAAAGCCTTCTCCATAGCCTCCCCGAACCCCTCAATTTATAAAGTTGGAGGGACACAGTTACACGAAGCCACTATTAATTGCCTTCTTGTGAAGATGAGGTGAAATAAACTTGTATTTTCTAACAGACTCAGAGTACCACAATGACATCTTTGCTTATATTTCCCTGGTATCTACAGTTGAAAGCATTTTATTGAGCAGATACTTTGCCTAACATTTAAACTTCTAATCTAACACTCTTTAAATTAGGTAATAATTAAATAATTGGTGATTTAGTGACTCTACCAGTCATTTACAAAGAGAAGGTAAGTTTGCAAATCTGTTAGTCAGTTAATCAGAGAACCAGATCAGGTCACCTCATCGTTTGAGTTCACATATGTGGTCCTAAAGTTGATGATGATATCGACAATGAACATGATGTCCACGACAAGATCCACAACGTTGAGGAGAGAACAGGAGTAACCACAGGTCTGTATGGCTGCTTCTTCTTGGTCACTAGAGGAAAATGCATTAAAAAAAATAAGAAATATTAATATATGTTTAAGGTCAAAGAGAGAATGAACCATCTACAAGAAAAAAAACATGATGTTGCAGTGCAGAATATTCAGACCAACATCATGACACCACAAAGGTATCAAGGAGCTCAAGGCAAATGTACAGCCCTGCATAGCAATTTTATATAATGTGCTACATATAAAGTTTGTCTGCCTGAATAAACCTTCTTTGTAGGTTAGATTGCCTTAAATTGTTAGCTCTTTCAGTGCTATCTATACCATCCAAAGATGAATCAAATCAGGCTTCTCATTTTTACATTCATGTCTAATGTTTGGCCGTTAGACGTTTCCTGGAAGAATTCTCCTGTGGGCAGCACGTCGTGGAAAAGAGAAAATCATGGGGACACTATGGTTTACCACTTATATACACTTAGAGCATGATAAATATTTTGTCCTGTTTGGCCTGAGGATGGCACCAGAGGAACTTATTAATACTATCAGAGCTCAGTCTTTGCTGAGGAGTTGAAACGTGCCCCAACAACGCCCTCCAATGCAACAAAACTAAAACTAAATAAAACTTTTATCTTCCTAATTAATGCAGGTGAAGTGAGCTTTAAATCTAATGTGAAGCCCCACCGACCTTAGTAAAAATGTGGCAGAATACGGTGTGAATATCGCTGTATAAATCACTAAGAGCAGAATGACCCAGTCCCACACAGCTTTGAATGGACTGTAGTGAAGGATTGTCCACTTCTGGATCCTTGGGGTCTGCAGTTTATACTCTGGTAACACATCAGGACTCAGGGATAGCACCTAGAGGAAGCACAAAGGCAGGTCAGTTTTGTGTATTTCTGTATTCCCACGACCACATTTCCCTTCCCTACTTTAGTCTCTGCAATGTGCATGACTGCTGTTGGGCTGCTTCACTGCATCCATTGTCATACGACTTCTTCATGTAATGGATGGTGGGACTACTGATGTGAAGGATGGGGCCTCAAGCCCCAGCACCACCCAGCTGCCACAGCTGGGTCCCTGAGTGAGGCCCTATCAGCTCCAGGGGTGTCTCAGGGTGGCTGACCCTGTGCTCCTCCAGCTTCTTACAAATAATTGGTGATGAGGTTCTAGCTGAGTTTACGTCTTTAATGACTACGTCGAGTGAAATCAGAAGTCCTCAGATTCCTAACTTGAGTCCGACTCGATTCCAGGCCATAGAATATGACATGACTTGTTTCATTCTGTGTATTTATAGCACTTGTGTTCATTTCAGGACGGTATGCATTTTCCTTGCTGTGTTTACTCAAAGTGTTTTCTTGCTGTGTGTACTGTTATGCTACGCCGGCGGCTTTGGATCGGGTGGTAGAGCGGGTCGTCCACTGATTGCAAGGTTGGCAGTTCAATCCCCCCTTACTGCTTGTATGATCACAACATTTAATCTCCATACAAATAGTACACTACCTTAACAAATGTGTTTGGAAGTCTGCAGGTAATACAACCCAGACGAGGATAGTCAATCAAAGATGGATGGATGGATGGATGGATGGATGGATGGATGGATGGATGGATGGATGGATGGTGGACTTAGTTTGGAGCAGAGACATGAGAGTAGCACAGTCGCTCCACTAACCTGGGTGACTTTTTCAGTCACATGATGCGTTCTGTCCATCAGTTTGCAGGGAGGCCTGATTTCACTGGGGGGTAATGCCACAAAGGTTTCTGCCTTCGTGTCCAGTAGACTCTGGGTCATCTGCTGCATGCACACAAACCACACACACATAAAGATACCTAACCCTAACAGCAAACACAAAATAAAAATCACAAAATGCTCACATTATTACATCTTACTGTGCATTTTAGGCATTTAGATGATTATTCAACTCAGAAAAAAATCATCAATTTGCATTTTTGGAGTCAAATGTAAATACAGGAAGTCATATTATTGAGTGAGAATATGAAAAAATGCGATAATAAGAATTGAATAACCACAATCTAAAAAAATCTAAAATCAACTTGCCGCTCCTTGTTTATGAGGAACAACCTGATGATGTTTCAACTGTCAAGCGATTCCATTTCTTTGACAGCAGAGCCCTGGTTTTCTAAACTCAGCTTTTGGTCACTGATGTAACACTAAAGTGTGCAGGGGCTGAACAGCTTAAATGCAATATAACTGAGCTTAAAGCAGTCCAGTGTAAAACAGCACACACAGACACTACACAGTGATTCATTCACAGTATTTGTAGCTCAACAAATATTATAATTTCTTTTTATTGCAAAATTGTACTTTGCTTATATGTTGGAACTTGGTGGGTGAATTAGAGCGTGGAAAGACGGCTGCCTGTACATCTGCACCACTACCTGGCTGTTTGGCCGACAGCACAGATCAGCGTCTGCTGTCCCAACTGGAACACTTCCCTTTCTGTTGGTCACCATTCGAGCTGAAGGAGAGAAACAGACAGAACTCCTGTTGCATTTAGATTTATATTTCAGTGGGTTTATGGAAGCCAAGTGGATCATGGCTGAAAGGCGAAACACAAAGTGTCCTCCAGCTCCAAACTCAAACATGCTGTTAGGTTTTCTGACACCTGTGGCTGTAAAGTTGCTCCCTCATATCTATAATGGGCAGAGAAGGTCCAGAGAGTCCTAAAAGGCAGCTTTTGAATATCTTTTAATAGTTCCTGATAGTTGCTCAAAAATCGCCTGAAATTTCTGTGCCAAAAAACAAGCTGAAAGTGAACATGTTTTTGAACAATCTATCTGATAAAGTATTTCATATATCCATCTGAAATGTCTCACATAGCCTTATAAACAGCCACATCTTAAGATTTCATGTTTGACACAAATCGTTCTGAAGTGTGATGATTTGAGGTGGAATGAACTGATGTTAAAAAATATTTTTCAAATTGTGTTTATTGTGTTTATTTTCTGTAGGTCCTCCACCAACTCCCCAACTGGTTGCTTCAGATGTTGTACTCCACCCCAGACACGCCCACTGCAAGTCATAGCACAGTCATGACTCGATAGTCGACAGGTTTTCAGACATGACATTTGATGTCACCAATCAGGATAACGCCGTATTATCTGAATGAACAATCCCACAGATTGGCTACGTTCACACTGCAGGACTTGATGCTCAATGAGGATTTCTTTGTGAGTTCCTTCACATTTCCAGTTAAATGCGACTTGTATGTGAACTGCTGTGTGAACTGTGAAGTGTTCCCCGACTGCGCCAAGTATTCGGATATTCATCATTAATTGGATGCGTGTTGCTCAGACTGTCATGAAAAGACCAGATCCAGGTCGAATTTGGGTCACTTCAGCTGCTGTCTGAACGTGTTGACCTTTGATGTTGACTGACGGGCCGTGACCAGAGCACCGGTCAGTCAGGCTGAAGTCCAGCGATGCGTAGTGTTCTAACAACACAATAGTTATTATAACAACTATGAACAATAATTAACAACTAATGAGCCTTCCAGCATCAAGCCTTGCTATCCGACATAGAAGAAGGTTTTACATTTAGTGTCGGGTTATCCAGTCACGACTGTACATCTGTATTATTTTTTTTCAACACTGATGTAGTTATTGTTAGCCTTGTGTGACTCGGCTGTTCCTGACTGCGCCTCTCATTGCCCACAGCCTTCGTTAACTCACTCATTCTGCCACCTGTCACTGTGCTCAGCAGCTCGTTAGTTATCGGTGCAGCACAACACTCAAGGCTAACTCAAACAAATTACACTATTTACACAAAACTAATATTTCTGACAATAAAACTTCATTCACTCATGTGTGGCTCCTTGTGGTTTCAGTGACATTTAGGTGAGCTTAGCAGTGATGTTTTGGGCTTTTTGTGTTGAAGGGGCTGTCTCACGCATGGCCCTATCACTGTATGTGCAAAGAACTGGCACTTTAATTTTACGTTCATTATTTTATCTCATTTAAAATGTCTCAAGTGCTACAATGGGTACCAGAAGTCCATATGGCCTGTAGGTGAAGGAATCTTCAGCCTGAATATTTTCCATCAGCTGCCTTCAGCAGTAGATTGCTTACAGACTTTTAGTCATTTCTCCTCTTTTGAAGTATAAAAGTCAGCAGGACTTCTTTTGAGGAAATAGTTTTGGTTGGTAGGTTTAGCTGCTGCTAAGTTTCATACATGTTCTGAACACCGAGTGGTACCGACAGGAGGCTGACTGAGCTGGATTAAATCCAGTGGTATTCTTACCAGTACAGCTGTGCCTCGGTTGCAGCCTCTTTTCCCAGTGACTCTGCTCACTCTTGATGTCATCCACTGAGGAGGAATGTTTTAAACTCCCACAGCTGCCATCCAACCTGGTGCAAAGAGGGTTGACGTGAAAAAGAGAGTGATGTGGACCTCTTTCCACAACAAAATGTACAGAACCTGTAAGCTATTTGTCAAACGTCTGCATTGACATTAAAAGGAGGTGCGCCCCCCATAGCGTGTCTGATACCCACCCACCCAGAGCTAATGAAACATGCAGCACACAATACAGGAACACAAAACACATGGAAGAATACAGGGCATCGTATTGTGTTGTTAACAATTTGTTGCATTTGATTCACCAAAGCTACAGTTGTCCTGCAGGTTTCAGCTGTCTGAGGCTTAGGATGAACCCAACAGTAGCCCGACACAGTGCACTAATCAGGACAGACTGGTCCCTCCTCTTGGAGCTCACAGCTGCCCTGGAAGGACAATGCTTAACACTTATAAGTCTTCAATTTCTGTGCTCTCTCAGTTATTCATCTGCATTATTTTCTACCCATAAGTTGGACTTGAACAGTTGTCTCATACTTTCCAGAGAATTCTCCTGCCCTTGGCTTCTGCCAGTGAGCCACCCCTCTCCCGCTGCGTCTTGTTAATTGTAAGAGCGGAAAAATCTGTTTGTGAGGCCCGGTCACCTTTACTTCATGACCCACCTCTGCTAAAAAAAACCTGGCTTAGAGATCCATTCATCACCAGATCATAAACTCTGTTACTGAGTCAGTCTCGGCCTCAGACATCGAACACCGGATCTGCTGGGCCTGCAGTTCGCCTCTCTAGCCTCCTTCCTCCGTCTCCCTCCTGCTGCTCTGCAAAACCCAACCAGCTTCAGACCAACTCCTTGTCCAGCCTTTGCTTGGATTCTCTGCCTGATCCTTCTGCAGCCAGCTCTGATCTGCTCCATGCGATGTCACTGCTCGGCTAACTCAGCTGCACTTCTCCTGCCAGCTCCAGCCTTAGTCCCAGTTTGCTGTGGTTCATCCCCTAATTTCCAAAGACTCTGTGTTTTATTTTAGTGTTTCATTTGTAATAAAATCACCTTGCAACTCTCCGTCTGGCCTGATTCTGTGACTCTGCACGTAGCTTCTTAGTCTAGCCTGAACACGAACACTTAATCTGCTTTAGAATAAATCAAGTTCAAAGTGCTTTCAGAATTGTTTTCTTCTTCTTTTGAGCAACCTTTTTAGTGCCAAGCAGCAATGTGGAGGTCCACATCTACAGAAGGAAGCAGCTCAATCAAAATTGAACATTTCAGGCTTGACAAAGCTGAGCAACGTTATTATGTTGGGGTATAGTGGAGAATGTCTTGGCTTCGGAACCGTTCTCAGACATCCTGAGTTAGGGGCGATGTCCAGTAAGTCCCACTCTGGAGCCAAACACCTCACTGACAGTATCTGTTGTAAAATGAAGTGGCTCTTTCTACTGGATACCGAAGCTGGTGTTGATCCAGCTGAAAAAGCAGATCACTTTACTGTTTGTCACATCGTGCTAAATAGCGAAAAATCCCTCATGTCAGGCGTTTATGGTCCAAGAGGGTTGTTATAGACTGTGTCACTGGTCCAAGGTTCATGTTTCTGGCTCATTTAAGGTCACTGCTGTATTATTAGGGTCCGAGGACCCCTACTTGATGCAGCAAGCAGGAGTCCTTGCCCTATTGTTCCCACTTCGTTTCTTTCTTTCTTATTAGGGTCCTTACCCTTAATTTGACCCCCTAAAAATGCTCAAAAACTCACCAAAATTGGCACACACATCTGAATCGGCGAAAAAATTTGATGCTCTAATGAAAAAAAAA